CCCCACCCTCCTACCGGTCTGGTTTGTCCATCTTCCCTCCTGCCAGCCAAAGCCTGGGTCAAGTAGATGGTCAAGGATATGCATTACTTTGTATTGATGTTATTTGTTGGGCATCGTTGTAAAATCAGTCGCTCGTCAAAATAATGAAATCGAAGAAACCTGCATTTTTTCAGCACTTTGGACAATTTATATCAATTTTTTCTGGGACCAGCACCGTTTATGTTCATATAAAAGTGTATTTCATTGTGAATTTACTGGGTAAAAATGTTGATAAGATGCTCAAAACACCCATGGATTTGCAGTTTCCAAGAACACTCCAGCTTTGGAAGTCATCAAACTTAAACAACTATTTCCTCGCCCGCCAATTTTACCTCTGATACCAGGTAACCCTCACCTCCTCCAATCGCAAATAACTCTACTTCTATTCAAGATAGATGAATACATTTTCATCCAAATCAAAAAATTCAACAACATTTAAGGTGCTACCAACAACTCCATAATATGTCCCAACATGACTGACGAGTGACTGATTCCACCGTGTTGTGAGACATAATTCTATAGTTCCCTTCCTCTCCCCGCGTCTACTTGAGTCTTTGACACTACTCACTAATAAAGTTCTATCTGACATGTTTGGCTGTTTTGAGTCAGTAAGACCATGAGGTCAGAAACCAAATGTTCTATCTGCTCCATCAAAATCGTAAGATTATACAGTCGCTATCAAAATATTTTTAAAAAATTGCATTTGAAAAAGCTTGACATGATGTGGAACTCGAAATCTTTGAAGTCAAATTTCTCAAAAGTAAGTACTGAGCAGATAGAACATTGTAATTCTGAGGTTGCACACAGACATCAGATCCTGTGACCCCATCATCCATCGGTCAAACGGCTTACGTCTAAGTGCAGGACTGGCTTGGGTGTCTCGAATGAAGGACAATCGTTAAGCCCCCCTCCCACTCTCTTCCCCCTAGACTTCTGGTTTCTCTGAACAATTTCAGTAGAGGAGAAAATCCACCAAAGCTTCCCTAAACACCATTAGTCCTTTTTTAGACGATGATATTATTTCGAGTTCACCGGTTAGGTTAAAAAAAAGGGTGCCCCCC